AATTTTGAATTTCGATATCTCAGCTCTGGAAGGGTCTAGAGCCTCCATTTTTGCACTCAGGTCAAAGTCTCACAGCCCTCTATCAGAATCCAGAGTTTTGAGAAGATTGGAGAAACTTCATTTTTCGCCCAAAAATTAAAAAAAACGAAAGGGGTAACACTGTCGTTTTTTTGTTTCGGGTCGAAATTTTGAATTTCGATATCTCAGCTCTGGAAGGGTCTAGATCCTCCATTTTTGCACTCAGGTCAAAGTCTCGCGCCCCTCTATCAGAATCCAGAGTTTTGAGAAGATTGGAGAAACTTCATTTTTCGCCCAAAAATGAAAAAAAACCGAAAGGGGTAACACTGTCGTTTTTTTTTTCGGGTCGAAATTTTGAATTTCGATTTCTCAGCTCTGGAAGGGTCTAGATCCTCCATTTTTGCACTCAGGTCAAAGTCTCGCGCCCCTCTATCAGAATCCAGAGTTTTGAGAAGATTGGAGAAACTTCATTTTTCGCCCAAAAATGAAAAAAAACAAAAGGGGTAAGTAACACTGTCGTTTTTTTTTTCGGGTCGAAATTTTGAATTTCGATTTCTCAGCTCTGGAAGGGTCTAGATCCTCCATTTTTGCACTCAGGTCAAAGTCTCGCAGCCCTCTATCATAATCCAGAGTTTTGAGAAGATTGGAGAAACTTCATTTTTCGCCCAAAAATGAAAAAAAACGAAAGGGGTAACACTGTCGTTTTTTTTCGGGTCGAAATTTTGAATTTCGATATCTCAGCTCTGGGAGGGTCTAGAGCCTCCATTTTTGCACTCAGGTCAAAGTCTCGCGCCCCTCTATCAGAATCCAGAGTTTTGAGAAGATTGGAGAAACTTCATTTTTCGCCCAAAAATGAAAAAAAACGAAAGGGGTAACACTGTCGTTTTTTTTTCGGGTCGAAATTTTGAATTTCGATATCTCAGCTCTGGAAGGGTCTAGATCCTCCATTTTTGCACTCAGGTCAAAGTCTCGCGCCCCTCTATCAGAATCCAGAGTTTTGAGAAGATTGGAGAAACTTCATTTTTCGCCCAAAAATGAAAAAAAACGAAAGGGGTAACACTGTCGTTTTTTTTTTCGGGTCGAAATTTTGAATTTCGATTTCTCAGCTTTGGAAGGGTCTAGATCCTCCATTTTTGCACTCAGGTCAAAGTCTCGCACCCCTCTATCAGAATCCAGAGTTTTGAGAAGATTGGAGAAACTTCATTTTTCGCCCAAAAATGAAAAAAAAACGAAAGGGGTAACACTGTCGTTTTTTTTTTCGGGTCGAAATTTTGAATTTCGATATCTCAGCTCTGGGAGGGTCTAGAGCCTCCATTTTTGCACTCAGGTCAAAGTCTCGCGCCCCTCTATCAGAATCCAGAGTTTTGAGAAGATTGGAGAAACTTCATTTTTCGCCCAAAAATGAAAAAAAACGAAAGGGGTAACACTGTCGTTTTTTTTTTCGGGTCGAAATTTTGAATTTCGATATCTCAGCTCTGGAAGGGTCTAGATCCTCCATTTTTGCACTCAGGTCAAAGTCTCGCGCCCCTCTATCAGAATCCAGAGTTTTGAGAAGATTGGAGAAACTTCATTTTTCGCCCAAAAATGAAAAAAAAACGAAAGGGTAACACTGTCGTTTTTTTTTTCGGGTCGAAATTTTGAATTTCGATTTCTCAGCTCTGGAAGGGTCTAGATCCTCCATTTTTGCACTCAGGTCAAAGTCTCGTGCCCCTCTATCAGAATCCAGAGTTTTGAGAAGATTGGAGAAACTTCATTTTTCGCCCAAAAATGAAAAAAAACGAAAGGGGTAACACTGTCGTTTTTTTTTTCGGGTCGAAATTTTGAATTTCGATTTCTCAGCTCTGGAAGGGTCTAGATCCTCCATTTTTGCACTCAGGTCAAAGTCTCGCGCCCCTCTATCAGAATCCAGAGTTTTGAGAAGATTGGAGAAACTTCATTTTTCGCCCAAAAATGAAAAAAACGAAAGGGGTAACACTGTCGTTTTTTTTTCGGGTCGAAATTTTGAATTTCGATATCTCAGCTCTGGGAGGGTCTAGAGCCTCCATTTTTGCACTCAGGTCAAAGTCTCGCGCCCCTCTATCAGAATCCAGAGTTTTGAGAAGATTGGAGAAACTTCATTTTTCGCCCAAAAATGAAAAAAAACGAAAGGGGTAACACTGTCGTTTTTTTGTTTCGGGTCGAAATTTTGAATTTCGATATCTCAGCTCTGGGAGGGTCTAGAGCCTCCATTTTTGCACTCAGATCAAAGTCTCGCGCCCCTCTATGAGAATCCAGAGTTTTGAGAAGATTGGAGAAACTTCATTTTCGCCCAAAAATGAAAAAAAACGAAAGGGGTAACACTGTCGTTTTTTTGTTTCGGGTCGAAATTTTGAATTTCGATATCTCAGCTCTGGGAGGGTCTAGAGCCTCCATTTTTGCACCCAGGTCAAAGTCTCACAGCCCTCTATCATAATCCAGAGTTTTGAGAAGATTGGAGAAACTTAATTTTTCGCCTGAAAATGAAAAAAAATGAAAGGGGTAACACTGTCGTTTTTTTTCGGGTCGAAATTTTGAAATTTGATATCTCAGCTCTGGAAGGGTCTAGAGCCTCCATTTTTGCACTCAGGTCAAAGTCTCACAGCCCTCTGTCATAATCCAGAGTTTTGAGAAGATTGGAGAAACTTAATTTTTCTCCAGAAAATGAAAAAAAACGAAAGGGGTAACACTGTCTTTTTTTTTGTGGTCGAAATTTTGAATTTCGATATCTCAGCTCTGGAAGGGTCTAGAGCCTCCATTTTTTGCACTCAGGTCAAAGTCTCACGCCCTCTATCAGAATCCAGAGTTTGAGAAAGATTGGAGAAACTTAATTTTTCGCCCAAAAATGAAAAAAAACGAAAGGGGTAACACTGTCGTTTTTTTTTCGGGTCGAAATTTTGAGTTTCGATATCTCAGCTCTGGAAGGGTCTAGAGCCTCCATTTTTGCACTCAGGTCAAAGTCTCACAGCCCTCTATCATAATCCAGAGTTTTGAGAAGATTGGAGAAACTTAATTTTTCGCCCAAAAATGAAAAAAACGAAAGGGGTAACACTGTCGTTTTTTTTTTCGGGTCGAAAATTTTGAATTTCGATCATCTCAGCTCTGGAAGGGTCTAGAGCCTCCATTTTTTGCACTCAGGTCAAAGTCTCACAGCCCTCTATCATAATCCAGAGTTTTGAGAAGATTGGAGAAACTTAATTTTCGCGCCCAAAAATGAAAAAAAAACGTAAGGGGTAACACTGTCGTTTTTTTTTCGGGTCGAAATTTTGAATTTTGATATCTCAGCTCTGGAAGGGTCTAGATCCTCCATTTTTGCACTCAGGTCAAAGTCTCGTCGCCCCTCTATCATAATCCAGAGTTTTGAGAAGATTGGAAGAAACTTAATTTTCGCCCAAAAATGAAAAAAAAACGTAAGGGGTAACACTGTCGTTTTTTTTCGGGTCGAAATTTTGAATTTTGATATCTCAGCTCTGGAAGGGTCTAGAGCCTCCATTTTTGCACTCAGTGTCAAAGTCTCGAGCGCCCTCTATCAGAATCCAGAGTTTGAGAGAAGATTGGAGAAA